GAATTTGTCTAATGGAATATACACATGGTGAAACCATGTCTGAGGCCTAGATAGGCTTTTGGATTGTCGGCAAACATGGTAACAGGTTGATTCATCATCCGTCTCTCTGGCATATGTCGTTCTCTGACTCATGTTAATTTATTCTTTGGATATTACAATACTATTAACTTTTTGAAGCAAGCAGGAAACTGGGTCCGTGGAATGCTATATAATTGACCTGAAAACCACATGTATAATTAGTCCCAATTATGTGAGAGTTTTTTATTTAAAGTATTATGAGAATGCAACTAAATTGTTTCCTACATCATTGATGATTTTTTTGCATGTATTTTTTTCTTTTCCTTTTTTTGAAGAGAAGAAAAGCTGGATTTTTTTTTAAGGAATCTAATAGATATTAAATAGAAAAATTGTCTGTCTGGCAAATGCAAAAATATGCAGAGGTAACATTTCTGGGCTTACTATGAAGTGCTGCACAATACTGAAGGATTTACAGGGAAAAGGATTTATATAATCCTATGTAATGTGGGATGCTGTGGTCTGCCTTCAAGTAGCCTGACTTAAATATTTAATATGCCACTTCACTACAGCATTCCTTTGAGTAACTCAAAAATATAAAGTCAATATTGCACTTGCTCTTACTAATAATATGCTGTAATGAGCAGCTAATTAAAACACTAAATGTAAAGCTGACATGCTGAGTTTTTTGTATTTTGACTGGCAAGCTGGGGCAGAAAGGAATGGAGGTAGCATCGATGTGTATGTGTAGTGAGAGGACGATGGCAAAGGCAAAACCTTCTTGTGTAGTTGGTTACCACTGTGTCCTTGTTAAAATTTTGGGACAGACCTTGCCTGTGATGTCCCTGGCTGTCCTTGTTACCCCCTAAACAGTTGAGCACGTGACTGTGATCCCTTTTCCACAGCAGTAAAGGGTAGCAAAGGAAAGGACATTCCATAATTGCAGAGCATCATCTATCTAGCCAAAGGGGATGCTGCTGCAGGCCTGCAGAGCTGTCAGTGGTTAGACGATAACCCGTTCTTAAAAGAAGCACTTGTTTAGGGAAGCCTTGAGGAGACTTTATCCCAAAAGCCAAAGGAGAAGAAAACAGTTAAAGCTTAAGGGTCCTGTTTTATTTTTGGTCTTCCCAGAATGCTGAGTTAAGCCAAATCACATTCCTAAAAAGCAGGAAGGTGTTAAACCACCTGCTCGTACGGACTTATTGGTGTTTCCAGGAGCTGGTGATATTCAGTAAAAGTATCCACCATCATTCCTACTGAACTTATTTGGTATAATTAAAGGACTACTTGCAACAACTTGATACCTCTGTGATTCTGGTTTGGGGAGCTGGAGTTTCTCTGGAGGGGCCAGAAGGTGAAACCTTGAGCTCTTTCCTTTGTGCTCTCAGGGGAAAGAGGTACATGTCTCGCCTGGGAGAGTCTATGTGAGTCATTTCTGTATGCTGCACCGTTAGATGGAACGGTGTACATGGAGTTGAAAAAAGCGTAGCATGTAGCAGGGGGTTTTATTCTTTATTACAAGAAGGGTAAAGAGTTTGGGCAAGCGCAGGAGCACTATGTGCTTCTTTATGGAAATTCTGGGCTGTTGCCCCTAGAAAGGGGTTTTCGGTTTCAAATTTCAGTGAACGGCTCGATGCAATTTTCTGTCTTTGAGTGTGAATTTAGAAAATAGCATAGGTAAAGTGATGAAATAGAAAAATGTTGTTACTTATCTTATTTGGGGAAACAGATAGAAAGCTGATATCTAAATATATCTATGTAATCTGGGTCTGAGAGCCTTAACTGATGCTGGCAATCTGAGATAAGAGCTGGTGTTAGATTTTTAGGAGAAGCCTGGCAAAAGGGATGTAGGCTTGAGCAGTTATCTATCAATGCTTTTTCTTAATTTGGCCTTGGCCTTGGATGACAGCCATACTTGTTTCCCCACACTAATTCTTCATGCGTTTTAGATACAAACTTCACTGTGAGACTTGACTTTTAAACAATTGCTTTTTGTAAGGGTGTACATGTTGCTTACTGTAAGTGTTAATGCTTTCAAATAGTTGATTAGGCAATTCTTTTTTCCTTTTACTTCTGGTACTACTTATTCTCTGAATTTTTCCTAATAAAACCTTCACTGCTGTGTAGAAATGCTAACACTGTTAGATCCTCGTTGGTATCTAACTGCTGTCCTGCAAGATTTTCTTGACTGCAATCTTTTTCTTGGTATTCTCAACTTTTGTATTAAATGCTTGATGTCTAGTGAACTGTTGCTGAACAACTGCTTAATGTTAGTAAGGTTCTTGTGTTTTTTTTTTTTTTTTCTTTTTCTTCCATTTCAGATCTCTTCCTTTGGAGTATGAGTCTTGTACAGAACGTGACCCAGGCTGCCATTTGATTTTACGTTTTCA